AAGAGGTGGACGCGGAAGGTTCGTTTTGGCACTGCTATTACAGTTCGTGCTTTGATACAATTCTGATTTGCATTCTGCGCATCATCATCATCATCATCATCATCATCATCATCATCATCATCATCATCACCATCATTGTTGTCATTGATGCAGCTAGTTGTGTTGTGACGCACGCTGACTAGTTGCATTGGTCCCTCTGACGCGCAGGTCAAAGCAGCCAAGCGAGCTGCACGCTGGCGCTCAAGGAAGAAGTACGGCTCGGAGCCCAGGGGAGCCCTGCTCTTGTCGGTGTGTCCTGTTTTTTGGGACCCCCCACCCGCATGGCTTCGGTTTTTCTCTTGGCTCCCTTCACCAACAAAAGGGGTACAATCGAAAAAAGAGACACTGGTCTTGTGATGGTAATAGGGAATGCATGAACCTGTATTACCACCTCGGTAGAACCCAAAGGGAAGGGGCTGGGGCTGGTGCTCCTTTAGGCTTCACGTGCTCCGTCGGCCCATCGCAAAGTTAGCGATTCATTTGGACGCAAAGGGCGAGACAGATTATTCAACAGAGGGCACGAGCTTAGACATATTTTGCCGATGTGTTCACCACACACACACAAATACGCAACAATTTCCGCGAATTCTCGGGGTGAATCTACAGCATCCGGAATAGTGATGGTTCGCAATGGGCAATTTGGCAGTTGGCAGTCATGTTGCCATGTGTGTGTGTGTGTGTCTGTACGTGTGTGGGCGCGCCCGCGCGTGCACTTGTGCGCTTCTGCATGTGCGCTTGTGCACTTGCGTGTGCGTGTGCGTGTGGGAGAGAGTGTGTTTGTGTGTGCGCGTGTTTGTTTGCGTCAAGTCATGCGAAGTTGTTTTTCAAAGTGCGGCACGCATATGTACGATTGTAGAGCACGAGGCAGCGTTCATTGTGTTTTTGTGTGTGTTTGTGTTTTGATGGACAATGGCGTCCGAATATTTTTCTTAAGCTCAAAGCCCAGAACAGAAGAGGCTCATAATTCAGCTTCATGCAGCATGTAATGTAATCATCGTCCAGTGGCACATCGAAGATGCCACACCAGACTCGTCACTGACTCAAGAGGTCAACTAAGCAAACCCAGCATACCCAGCTTGATATCTGCAGAATGGTTCAATTGTGGATGTGCAATCATCGGTAGCCTACGACATTTTTCTCTGGGTGTGGCAAGGACGCTTCTTGTCATCGCTTGGGCTCGAAATTGCGCCTTGAAACATCAGCATCGCAGGCTTCCAGGGGAGCCCTCCATGTGCGTGCATGCGCATGGCGTCTTGATTAAATGCGTTTCCATCCCCCAGCTGCCGCCGTCGCGACTTTCGCTCGAGGATCTTACGGTGCGAGGCAGGTGCCCAGGAGGCTGGGTGACCTACAGGTTTGAAGTCGTCGACGTTTGCGCTCGGAAGCCATTGTTGCATCCGGCATTCTCAGTTTTCGGTGGACGGGTTGGTGAAAAGGCTGGGCCCCCTTCGAATCACACCCGGCTGCTAGTATCCCTCTGTTGACTGCTCTCCCTGGTAATGTTATAACGTTGAGAAACCTGGCGGCTTGACAGGGGTTTGCCCAATCGAAAAGAGAAGGATTCTTTGTGAACCGGAACTCCCAATTCAACCAGCGGTTCAGAATTTCTCGGCTCGAATTTGGGCTGGTTTTAGAACAACATGGGATTGGTGATTCCCTTGGTTTGCCTTTTCCCCAACCAGACATGGGGTACCGGTGGCCAGGTATCCGCTCTATGATATCCTGGAGGTTGGAGGGTGTTTTGAATCGGTTTTTCTTGACTCCAAATATGCAGGCGCTCCCCTCAGAATCCACAAATCGGCAGATCACAAGAACAGGATGCCTTGAAGATGCACTGCGCATTGGCGTGTAGAAATTCTTGCAGATCACAAAATTGGCTTGACTGCTGTGCAGACAGGGAATGATTAGACTGCCGTTTGATGTTTTGCTGGACAGATTTGACTGGCTAGGGTGCAGAACTGTTTGCCAGTCACAGCAAGCTTGCTCATTGTCATCTCGCAGGAGCTCTATGACAAGGTTCCCACCTACACCATCGTTAGCGAGCCAGATGAGACTTGTTTGCACAGAAGCCGCGATCCAACATGCTTGAACTCGCTGAATTTGGAGACGGACTGATGTTTTGAAAGCGTGTGACTTAGCTCTAACTTGCTCTGTGCCGTTCCAAAGCCTGACATATCATAAGTCTTTCTGAAAGAAAGACAAGCGAGCACCGCGCCCCATCCCAATCTGCCCCACCCCACCCCACCCCACCCCACCCCACCCCACCCCACCCCACCCCACCCCACCCCACCCCACCCCACCCCACCCCACCCCACCCCACCCCACCCCACCCCACCCCACCCCACCCCACCCCACCCCACCCCACCCCACCCCACCCCACCCCACCCCACCCCACCCCACCCCACCCCACCCCACCCCACCCCACCCCACCCCACCCCACCCCACCCCACCCCACCCCACCCCACCCCACCCCACCCCACCCCACCCCCCCACCCCCCACCCCCACCCCACCCCCACCCCACCCCACCCCACCCCACCCCACCCCACCCCACCACCCCCCACCAACCCCCCCACCCCACCCCACCCCACCCCACCCCACCCCACCCACCCCACCCCGCACCCCACCCCACCCTACCCCACACCCACACCCCACCCCACACCCCACCCCCCGCCCCGCACCCGCCCCGCCGCCCCGCCCCGCCCCGCCCCGCCCCGCCCCGCCGCGCCGCGCGCGCAGCGCCCCACCCGACCCCACCCCCCCACCCCACCCCACGCTATCTATGTCCATATATTTCTCTGCATATGCATCTATATTCATGTCTGCCTGTTTGCTGTGGAGCCTCCTTTTTGGTTGCTTTCAAAGGGACACCAAAAGGAAAATCACAATTCTAGGGGTTGTCAACTTTGAGAGAAGCATTATATCTCTTTCCCTCCATCCATCTATCCAATCTAATCTCATTTCATCCTATCCTGTTCTGTTTTATCTTACCTGATCTGAGCTGGCTCTTATCTTTCTCGCACCTTTCTATATCTCTCCAGATCTGTATTTCTCTATCTCTCTACCTCTCTACCTCTCCATCTCTCTGTCTTTTAATCTTTCTGTATCTCTATTTGTCTTTACATCTCCACCTCTCCATCCATGCCTTTCCGTCACCCTCTTTCTCTCGAATACCCCCCAATTGAAGCTTTGATTTCACCCACTTCAGGAACACATCCACATTTTCTGCATGTCCTTCCATCGCTCTCTAAACTCTTTTACTGTCTCCTTGTGTCCCAATATCTCTCTTTCATCTTCATATCTGACTTTGTTTCTCCATGTCTATCTGTACGTCTCTTTGTTTCTCCCCTGCGTACTTCCACGGGTTTCGGGCTTTCGGTTTCGGTGTTGAGTTTTTTTAGGTTTAGGATTTAATGTTTTGGCTCGGGTGCAGATTTCGAGGGTTTAGGTTTAGGCTTTTCGTTTTATGTTTCATGTTTTGAGTACTGCGTGCTTTTCCTTTTAGGTTTCATGTTCTCTGAGCACTGCGTGCTGTGGTTAAAAACACACACTCGTCCGCCCCCTTAGGGTTTGGGGTTTTCTAAACGAGTAAAACAAAGGTTGCACGTCTGTAGCGAAAAGCTGAGAACAAATGAGCAGACACCTTCACCCCGCGGCCGGTCTGTGTGGGTGTGTCTTTTTTGAGGAAACGCCTTTCTAGGTTTTTATTTTAACGGGAAGCCAAAACAAATAATACCATTTTGACGGTGTCTATCGAACCCTTCCTTGGTGGGACGTCAGTGCCGCTCGGGCTGAAGTTTCCAGCAGAACCGCCCGGCTCTCGCAGTGCCGCCGAAATTTGGCTAGTTTTAGAGGTTTGATTTAGGGTTTAGGGAGCGTTGGCCAAAAGATGGGCACTGGCCCATGTATGCGCTTAGCTCAGGTGCCGATGGAGCCCAAGATGAAAGTGCCTGTCGAGCGCTGAGCCACAAGGATGTGGATGTCATCCAAAATGCAGAGCTGGTGCTTCAGTTTGGAAAGGACACTGAAACACACCACGGACATCCAAAAGCAAGCAGAACACAGCACATCCAAAGCAACCCTTTCAGCGCCCGACCAGTGGATGCCTCTCGCCCAGTTGACGGAGCGCTACCCTTGGGCTGGCGACCTCTCGAAGGTTCATCCACTCAAGCAGGAGAAGGCCAGGCCCCGGTGGAAGGGGGCCGTCTATGACTTTTGATCTATGACTCTTGCCATCTCTCCAGTGGTTGGTGAATACAAATCCACTTAGAATTGATGCCGGCGTCGCTTGCATGAAGGGCATCGCAGGAAGATGCGTGCGATCTTCTGATATTGCCCAAGGCTGAACATTTTCATGGCCTGAGTTTGTTTTTCTCTTTTTTTTTCTTTTTCTGGGCATGCTGGCAGGAGCACGGTGAGAATGAAGACAGGTTGAGAGCTAAGCGTAGCATCACTTGCATCGGGGTGCGCCAGTGAGAGGCCATGTCCAAGTTGAGAGTGCGAGTATAAGGATGGAGCCCTTGTGGGCTGCTTGGAATGGCGCTGGGCACCCACCACAAGGCGCCTTTGAGACCGATACACTGGCTTGAGGACGCAGTCTGGCAGGGATGGAAGGCAAGTGAACCTGCGCAAGGCAACAGACAACAAGCAGTTGGTTGAACTTAGTAGCTTGACCATTGTACAACTTTGCCACCTGGAAAATCCTGGCATCTTGGATTCAAGACCACGCACGACCGTGGCTCAAAGGCCAGTTTTGTAATTGTTTGTCGGGTCCAAGTGATGACTCCCCTCTTGGCTGATAGCACAAAGGCAAGCATTTGGAGGGCCTTCTTAGTTTTTGAACAACGCCCTGTGGGGGGGGGGGGGTTCTTTGTTGGTGTGTGCGCCTGATGAGATGCAGACAAGTCAGATCATAGGCAGTTCTGACTGGTGCCTGGCGCAGGTCGCGAGCAAATGTACGAAA